CTTCAGACCCTCCTCTGCCCCCTCCTCCTTCCCTCCCCCGACACGAGGCTCCTCGCACCTTGTATCCGCTGCAAGTCAGGCCCGCGTTTCTTTTCGCCAACACACACTTCATTCGCAGAAAGAAGGACCTCTCTATCTCGTACTCTGAAAGCAGGAGTGAGGTTAGATGGGCCAACTGTTCCACGATGCTTCCCCCGATTTTGTCCCAATAATATCTGTCGATGCTCAGGATCAGATGGGGCAGCCGGAAGCCTCATCCCAGAATGCCCCGACCCTGACCCAGGGAGCTTCTGCCTGGGGCGGGGACCTGGGTGGGGTGGGGAGACTGGCCCCAGGCCTGCTCCAGAAGCAGGCAGCTGGAAACGTGGCCACAGCAAGAACTCAGGAAACAACCACCTGGGGCCAAGGTGAGGACTGTAAGCGCAGTGGGCCCAGCCCCCCTCGGCATGCCCATGGCCCCCTCCTGGCAGGCACAGAGAGGCCTGGCACCGAAAGAATCGCCTTGGCTAGTCCTGGGGTGGAAGCCTGGGTTGGCCAGGAAGGCCCAGAAGCATCTGGCTTCCCTCAGGGTAAAGGACACTGAGTAAGGGCTCACAGGTACAGCTCTTTCCCCAGCAGAGGGAGACAGCCACAGGGCCCTGACACTGCCCGGGACTGCCTTGGAATGCGGAACCCCCTCAGCCAGATCAAAAAGCCTTAGCCCTCATACATAGCCCCCTCCTTTCTCAGGGCTCTTACCCTCCCCATTCGGTCTTTCTCTGGCAGGGCCAAAGGCCTTACCCACCAGTCTCTGACCTCACTAGTGCAAATGCAAGTGAGTCCCCAAAGGAAACTAAATCTGCTTTAGTGAGCAGATGCCAGTTCTCTGGAATGATGTGTCCATGCCCCCGGGTAAGGGTGAGGTCACTCCACGCTAAATAGAGTTATTTGGTGGCAGTTAATAGATTAATTTTTAAAGAAAGGTTACCATTAGGAGTAGAGGCAAGGCTCCCAGCCATCGCCTATGAGGCTCCTCCCTTCCACCTGCTTGGAGGGGTGGCCATATTTACCTACAATTCCTCTGCAAGCAGGCTATGGTCTGTGAGACATAAGGCTTCCCTGTAACGTGGCTGCCTGTCTGCACCATATCCAGCCAAGCACTGAGGTCTAAAAAAACTTCACCCGGTAATTAACCATGGAGCTTTGGAGAAAGCCAACAATACAATGACCATGACATGATGGGGCAAGTTTAGACGCACAAAAACAACTCTGTGGATAAGAAGCCAGGGAGAGGTCTGAGCGCCTGTGAACCTCAGGCCTTGCACACTTGGGTGGAAATGAATCTGGGGGCAACCCCATCTCTCTTAGACCCCTGTGCTTCTCTTGTGTTGTTGCTGTGCCTGAGACATGAACCCCACAGAGACTGGGGTCGAAAGGGTCTCATGATATTCCCAAGACTCATGCGCTGTCATTTTACAAACACCCTTTTAAGGCTGTGACACAGAAGGATGATGGGAAACCAGAGCTAGTGAGAAAGCGCCCAGGCCCATGTAATTAACACGCTGTGGAACTTTCTAGAACAATAACAACCCAATATTCTTAGGGAGTTCTCCAAGACTCCCACCGCCTCTTCCAGCTTTAAACAGCCCCACAGTGAAAGAATGAGATTCAGGTACATTCCCCCCCCAGACCTCATTTTGTTAGAAATTACTTCTTCAGGGTCTTATTTGTGTGCATTTATGCAGCCAGACCATTTGCAAGGAGTTAAGAGTCACAGACCATGGCTAAAAGCAAGCTGCCAGCTCAGAAACCAGGACAGCAATCTCTCTCCCTCATAAGGAAAAGTGAGGCTTACAGCGACTAGTTCTGGGGCTAGAACGTGCTGGCGGGGGGTGGGGGGTGCACAGAGTTGAATCTGCAGGTGGTTTTACAATTGAGTGGGCTCTGGGGCATCAGCTAAGCTTCCGACTTCAGCTCAGGTCATGATCTCACAGTTTGTGAGTTCGAGCCCCGCATTGGGCTCTGTGCTGACAGCTCGGAGCCTGGAGAGTGCTTTGTATTCTGTGTTTGTGTGTGTGTGTGTCTCTCTCTGCCCCTCCCCTGCTCATGCTTTGTCTCTCTCTCTCTCTCTCTCTCTCTCTCTCAAAAATAAATAACACATTTATAAAAATGTTTTAAATAAAATAAAACTGAGTGGGCTCTTCCAGAGTCTCTCTTTCTAGCCTAGAACAGCCTCCCCAGGAGGAAGCAGTAAGAGTGGAACTCGAGCTTTTCTCTGGCTGGCGACCCCATTCTCACCCTGCTTCACGTTTCTCCTTTCGCATTTTGTTCTACTGGGGAAGTCTGGCCAAGTTGGGATACTGTAGTCCAGAGCAGACAAGAGACCTATCGATCAACATGCTGGTTGGTCTCATTGGACTGTCAGACGGAGTTACAAGCCCAGGGCCCCCCGAATAAGTTCTTCTCTGTCTTCCCAGCATGCACTGCAATTATAACTTAGGAAGTCATTTGTGTAATGATGTGCTCCTCACCCTTCACTGAATAGTCAAGCCACATCATGTCCTAACACGGTGCTTATGACCATAGAACCCAGTCAATATGTGTTAAATGATGGGACTGTCAGGTGGAGGAACCTGCCCCCACACGGAGACAGGCTGGGGAGGTGCACCTGCCTCCATCTAGACAAGGGCTTCTTAACTGATTCGTGCCATGGCATCTCTACCTAGAATAATGTTTTTAAGTGCCGAAGATAAAATATATGAGATCACAAATGGAACCAGCTGTGTTGAAAACAGTTACCAAAATATTAAAACAAGTGGTGATATGGTTATAAATGTGCTGGTTTATTTTTTTTTTAATTTTTTTTTTCAACGTTTATTTATTTTTGGGACAGAGAGAGACAGAGCATGAACGGGGGAGGGGCAGAGAGAGAGGGAGACACAGAATCGGAAACAGGCTCCAGGCTCTGAGCCATCAGCCCAGAGCCTGACGCGGGGCTCGAACTCACGGACCGCGAGATCGTGACCTGGCTGAAGTCGGACGCTTAACCGACTGCGCCACCCAGGCGCCCCTAAATGTGCTGGTTTATTAACACGTGAGACAACAAGACCCAGTAGCAGGCTCATAACTCTTGAAATTTTGAAGTAGCAATGAGCCCCAATGATACGTTTAAGTACCTACAAGAACACTGTAAAGTGAAACGAACACATGTGATTCTCGTTGTGGGCAAAGCCGTGGGTTCTAGTGAGAGTAAGGGGACAGACAGTCTACAGTCTATATGCAAAGGAAAAGCGGAATTCAGCCAGACAGAATAAAGATGTAATTCTTCCCATGCAGTTTCACAGACCCCCTGAGTTCCATCTGGGGGCCCTCTGGTGAAGAAGCCCAGGTCTAGATTGTGTCCCTGGAACTCTAAACCAAGAGCACTTTAGGGGAGAAGCCTCTGACCATGTTTCTTTACCTCCTGCAGCACCTCACGTGGTCTCTGGCATGAGAAATGAGATCCATAGTGTTGCTTCAAAGGACAGAGGCATAAAAGCAAATGCCCCGTGCTGTGTGTTTTCTGGAGAGGCCCTGCTGGGCGGCCCCAGTCATGCTTCCCCCACCCCTTGGCAACACAGGAAGCAAAACCCTCAGGTCACATCGAGAGAGAGAGAGAGAGAGAGAGAGAGAGAGAGAGAGCGCTTTGTCTGGTTTCTTCTCATCTGGAGGAAATACCTTGTAGCAGGTGATGGTGGAGGGGCTGGTGGGCCGCGAGGACAGCTGTCATCTCGTCGTGGTCGGAAGGATGGATGTACTCGTAAATACTGTTGCCCGTGAGCTCCACCTGCCACAGAGGGAAGGGAAGGGTCAGAAATCCCCTCGGGGTTGCCTGGGTGGAGGAAGGGGAAGGTGCACCGTAGGTAGGCACCACCAGGGACAGGGGTCCCACCTCTCCTTGCAACCTTGTCCCCATGCAGAAACGTGTGGCTTTCATCAAGCAGTGCTCTGAACCGCCTCCCACATGGGGATTGGGGTCAAAGCCAAGACAGTTCTGAGCAGGAGGAACTGGGAAGTGAAGGATGAAAAGGTGTCATGGAGGTGGGTGACCCCTATGGCCCAGGCAGTGTCCTTTATACAGGAGACAGCTTAAAACAGACTGGAGCTAGGGCCTTGCCCTTCCCCCGCGCACTCCCATGCTGCCTGAGGGGACTGGCCAGCTGGGACACCAGCTGCTAAGTCCAGACTATCGTCCCTGCGAGAGCCAAGTCTGCCCTCTCAGAGGCTGAGCAAGTGGGAGCCACAGGGGCTCCAGTTCATTTCTCCATCAGCTCTGAGCTGTGCCCCTCAGGCACCGCCGGGCCTCTTTCACGTGGCTGGAAACGTGTCCCTGGCCTTCCGAGTCTGGGATGACTGTGTTGCCCGATGGCTCCCGCCCACGGGTGTGGCGGGGAGGCTGCGGGACCTGCGGGAAGGTTTGGGCCCGCTCCAGACAGCCATGTGACAGGCTGGTTATTTCCCCCGGGGGTGCGACCCCAGCACTTGGGCACCACCTACTTCCAGGCACACCCTGCAGAGGACAAGACGGCAAGCCTAGAGGCCATGTGGATGTTGGCCAGGACCCTGCCTTGCAGGGATGGGGGTCTCTAGGAAATAGCATCATTATGACCTATCCACAGAGGTCACTGGTGATTCGATGCCTAAACGAGAACTTTTCCACTGTTCCCCCCAAGCATAAGTGCCATGATAGGGGATATTAGAGTCTCAAGGCCTGGACTCCCTGACCCCATCCTAAGATGGGCAGTGGTACAGAATGTTCCAGAAACTCTGACCATCACAACGGCCTTCTGAGCAGTGCCGGCTGGATCCTATATTAGAGGTACACCAGTATGGATGAGGGCTGTGTCAGTGCATCCAGGATTAATCAGGGGCCCAGGGCACTGATGGCTGTTCCACCATGGCCAGGAAGAGCCCCCAGGCCCAGGGTGGAAGAAACTGAAAGCCTGCGAGAAAATGCCCTCGGGAGGCAGAGAACCTTGGGCAGGTCTGATGAACTCTCTTAGCTCTGCCCCACGGGGAGAGGAGGGCAAGCTAAAAGAGCAAAGGCAGGCTTGTGAGTGCCGTGTCCCTAACCACCCCCTTGTTATTTTTAAGTGTGTTGTGAACCACATGTTTTGTTGGGAGGCTCACTGGTCTCGAGCAGAGCAGAGACGACACGATCTTCTGTAAAGGGGCAGCTCTGACCGTGCCACCTCACGCAGCAGGACGGAGGCAGCCAGGCAATTTAATGGACAAGTTCTCCTGGGAGCCACTGTTTCAAATTAGCATCAAGGCCACGAGCTCTTTACTTGGGACCACGCGGCCATGGAGAGGTGAAGTAATTTACCCCGTCCTCTGAGCCAGCTCTTCCAATGTCTTAAGACGTATGAGTTGCCATTTTATGCAGAACAAATTATGTTTCTGGCCCGCTAAGGCATCTTGTCTCTAAAACGGCTTTCGCAGTTCTGTTTTCTGCATTATTCCTGGAATGTTTCTTTCCAATATTGTGCCAACAGAGCCACGGAGGGAGTCCCGTTACAGAGAGCCTCCCTGCCTCCCTCCTGGACACTCGCCTCCCAAACCCGCACTTTGCTAATGACCGAAAGGAGATTTTCCTGTGACAAAAGTTATTATGTAATTTCACTCCAAACTGTAAGGAATGAAAGGAAAACATTCTTCTTTCAAGTCGTTTCTGTTCATCCTTAAAAAAATTTCGATAAACCAGCAGATGTTAAGTCAGCCACGTGGGACAGGACAATCTCTTCTTCCCTGAGGACAGCAGTGGGGGCTCCTTGTGAAGCTCTCTCAGGTGGAGAGGGACAGAGGCTAATAAGAAAGGGAGCTGGTTTTTTTTTTTTTTTAATTGATTTACAATTTCAACAGCTTGTTTTTAAAAATGAAAAAAAAATAATGAGAATTATTTTTGTGTTGGTCCATCATTTTTCCCTTAGGCATGTTTTTGAGGGAAAAAAGAAGTATTCTAGTTTGCTCTGAGTTCTTACTTAGGAAAAAAACAACACATCTTTTTATTTTTATTTTATTTTAAAAATTTAACTATTTATTTTAAGTAATCTCTACACCCGGCGTGGGGCTCGAACTCACAACCCCAAGATCAAGAGTCACGTGCTCTTGTGACTGAGCCAGCCGGACGTCCCAGTAGCTCATGTCTTTTGAAACGTATTTATAAACTTGCAGAAAGATTTGCATCTCTGCTTATAGGGATTCGATCTGCGTTTTAATCCTAAAGTAGCTTCATCTGTTTTCAAAGATCCCATTCTCGCCATATGCGTTTGGAAAAAGAACAGAGAAGGTCCGTGAATGAAGAGGCTTGATTTGCTGAATACTTGGGTCAATTATAAACTCTAAGCCTGTCCAGGAAGTAAAATGGTCTTCAAATAACGGAAATGTTTTTAGAGAACAAATTTTGGAATGATAAAACAGTGCTGACCTTGACTCAAAATTATGGTTGACATGGTGTTTCCTGTATTTACATATCTACTCGTGCTTTTGAATGGTTGAAAGAAATGTAGCTACCTCACCAGAAAAAAAAAAAAAAAAAAAAAAAAAATTATAGTTGTCGCTATAAAACTCCCCAGGTCTCATACATCAACCTTATTAAAACAGACCCTCAATGTGATATTTTAGTATTTGTAAAACCCTGCTAACTACAAAATGAATTGCTTTCCTACTAAGAGCGTTTTTATGTTTTGCTGAATACCTTTCCTTCCTGCCAAGACAAGTACATATGGTAAATGCAGCACTAAATGGATACATTCTGGGTCAGAAGGGGAAAGTCACCCAGTGCTCGGGAAATGCACGTGACTCTGCTTTGGGCGTTTTGCTGACTATGGTAAATTAAGCATTTTAAAATAAGATGGTTTGGGTTTCAGGGTTCAAGTTATGTCAACAAACATAAAGCGCTGTCCTTTCTCTTTATTTCAAAAGTGAAAGGATTAGGTCTATGGCCCCAAACAATGCCGTGGCTAGGCCACAACTTTACGGTTGTGGTTCCGGCCACAATCTCAAATATTACATTTTCCTTTATATGTCTCATAAATGGCCATTTCACACATACCTATAGTTGCTTGAAAATTTACATTAGTTACCTAGATGTTATATAATACATGCAACTTTGGTGAGGAAATCTAAACCGCAGGGATACTTAAAAGCGTCTGAGGAAACACACAGCAGGTTCTACAGGGCTTTTTTCCTTTTTCACATATAAATAAGTTAATCACACCAACCAAAAAACCATGGAACTAACCATCTAATAAACCTGTGTGGATAAAGAATGCTTCCCCAACTCTACCCCTCCAAACAGATATAAACGAGACTATACGAATTATTACGTATCCTTTGCGGGCACATATACCGAATGGAATTTTCAAGGCTGAAGCCTGACTCTGTTTCCCAACACTTGGACGGTGAGCTGAGAAGACTTACTTGTACTTTGTGGTTGTCTCTGTCACTTTCTGGTAAGAAAGTCTGACAGCAAGGGTCACTGTGTCTCCTAATTTAAAAACAAAAATAGTAAACTCTGCCAGATTTCTTACTCTAACACTCGTTTAAAGAAAGCTCAATAAAACGCTTTGAATTAGGATGGGCTTATCACACATAAAGAATCATTTTTATACCCTCCAAAATAGATAATTGAGATAGTTATTTAGGTAGTGCAGATGTGAAAAAAAAAACACCACCACCACTTTGCCGTGAATTATCACACAATGATGACAAACCTAGGAGCTTATGTTACCTAGGAGCTGCTAACACAGAGTTTAACCCTGAATTAATGTGAAAGATGTTGTTACTTAATGAGATAATGTCATCGAGAGTAATTGAAAGTTCTTGGAACGCAGAAGGACGCTATGTAAATATAAGCTATTAGCACTATCGTTATTCATCAGAAAATCTGTCTGAAGGGTTACTCTGCTTACTGGATAGAATTTTAACATTTTCCCCTCCGACGATTAAAAAAAAGATCCTTAAGCCTATTTTAATAAAGTTTTCATGTTTGACATCCTTGCCTGACTTTTTGCTACTAATAAAAATAATCTAAAAGGCGCAAAAAAATTTTTTTAAAGGAGAAGTTGGGCGTTTGACATCCTATTCAATACTTCATTTTACTATTTAAGTAAAGAAGACAGAAAAAAATACACATTGTGATTCTGCCTAGAGTTCCTTCTGCAGAGTTAATCGTGAGCAGGAGGCAGATTTGTGGGAACGGTTTGTTGTTGCTTATTTAAACAGTTCAGCATGGAACACTCCCCAGACACTAACGAGGGCTCACGTCTGCATTAAAGTGTTTTTGTAGCTGGAGGCTGATGCTGAGGCAGTCCCACTAAGAGACCAAGAAAAAAAAAAAAATTCAGTCGCTCTACACAGTTTATCTTTTTTTTAAACTGACACTTCTCCCGGCCAGCAACATAATAAACAAAAGGCATCTCTACAACATTCTTGAAAAGTGATCATGTATAACTCCCTGCCCTTCCAAAATTATGGCACCAAGGTTTCTCTCTGCATTGTGACCAAAGGGAAATATAATTTTAATTGTGCCTAAATTATTCTGTTTGGATTTCCTTTTGTAGAATTCATCGTGAACAGGAGGCATACTTGTCACCTATCCAATATTTTGTTCATTCTTAATTAGTGTTCATGGACAATTTCATTTCCCACATAAAGAGAGAAAAATGACAGAGAGAGAGAATATCATACTAGACTGAGCAGCCTGCGTGAACCAGACCATCCTGGTGTGCGCACAGGGCCTTATCATGTGCCAGGCCTTGTCACATGACTAAGCAGTCCTAATATGTGCCCACCAAAGGACACTATTTGAAGCAACTTTTGTGCTACTTGAAGTACAGTTCCAATGAAACCGTGGGGACACCCGGCTTTTGTGTAGCTCCCTACGGTTTGTAAGTCACATAAAATGGGCACTTTGATATATTTCTTACCACAGCCCTGAAAAAGAGGTAGAGCAGGCATTATTTTCTTATTTAAGTTATGGTTCAGGGAGGTTAAGTACCTGCTCTATCAAAACAATGAAACCATATAACTATACATTTCCCTTTTTGCTTTGACTGCTAGGGAACTCAGATCTGACTTTAGTATTTGATACTAGTGACTTTACCTGTTTTATCTTTGTGCAGTCCTTTTTTTAAAAAATTTTTTAACGTTTTTGTTCATTTTTGAGACAGAGAGAGACAGAGCATGAGCAGGGGAGGGACAGAGAGAGGGAGACACAGCATCCGAAACAGGCTCCAGGCTCTAAGCCGTCAGCACAGAGTCCGATGTGGGGCTCGAACTCACAGACTGTGAGATCATGACCTGAGCTGAAGTCGGACGCTTAACCGACTGAGCCACCCAGGCGCCCCAATGTGCAGTCCTTTTTAAAGAATGTGAACTGTTTTGTCTTTTTTGTGACATTATGATAAGACTAACCAAAGATTTGATAAATTATGAGGAAAAAGTCAAGTAATCTACTCAAAATCATTCAGCCACATATCAAATTAGGACTAGCAACCAGGATGGTTATAACTAAAGGGCCTTAAATAATTCTAAATAGGGCAAGATAGAAACTCAGAGTAGAATACCTTGGAAAATATATAAATAGTAAATATCATGTTCCCAACAGTATTTCCTCTTCCACAAGTATACTACTAACATCAGTCACGTAAGCGTAAGAGCCAAGCCTTAGCAAATCTTATCTGGGAGACCTGGTTTCGTAAAGGAAGAGAAGAGGATGAGAAAAGGAAACACTAAGTAATCTTAATATGAGATTCTCTTTAAAGGACTTTGCATAAGAAACGTAGGCACAGACACCACCCCCTCCTCGGGCGTGGATAAAGATGTATACACGTTGGAAGAGAAGACTGTAAACAAATAGCAAATTTTAAAAAATGCATCGGCAGAAAAAAGAAAAGGAATACACCAGATGCAGGCTTCCAAATTGGTAATTTTGTTTTTCAATGAAAAAACTCCAGCCACGTTAATTGGCATGTTTTATTTTGGCGTAACTACAGAGGGGGCCGGTGCAATACAGATTATTCATCTGCCTCCTGGGAGCCCATTTCCTGTATCTAATTAATTCTAGCGTGTCTTCAGTTGCGATGGACACAAGCACTCTGATAGTTCACAATGTAAAGAAACATTTAGTCTCTACATGTATAAAAAGTGTGACTTTTGGAACCACTATCCACGCTTATTAAATCAGAAATGTGAACGGCAACAATCAGTTAGACTCCTCCCCTCCCCCCACTGGGAGGAGCCCAGACAGCAGCCGAATTCTCCCCCAAACCCTTGGCTCGACGCAAATAGATAAAGCTGTGTGCACCTCTTTCCTTTATGGGATGCACCCCCTTTTAGAAGACAGTTGCAGAAAAATCGGTAATATTTAAATGTTCTAAAGAAAACAGGACCTTGCTGAGCAAAACAGTAGTAAACTGAGTTTTATGAGTTTCTATCACAAGCATATAAAATGCTTTACTGAAACGACCACTGAACTGGAAAAACTCAGGAAAAATTACCCTGAATTCCATGTGAACACTCATAAATCTACACCCACCCCTTCTCTCTCCCCAAAGCACAGTCTGCATAAAATCCATGTTCGACATCAGTTTCCCTCTTACTTTCATGGCAACTCACAATACCACGTGCCGACCAGCAAGCGTGGACTGAAAAATCTCCCTTTGTGAAGCTCTTGTTAGTGGCAGAGTGTTACTGCAGAAGCAGAGTCCAGGCTATCAGACAGAATCCTCAGAACAAAGCTGACTGTTGCGAAGATCTACTGGTCATTAATCCCAAAGGAAAAAGAAAGTAAAACCTTCAAAATGCAACACGAAGAGCCCTGCGGGATGGCCTAAAAAGATGATTTTGCAATTTCGGATTATTTCACACACAAATCTTGAACAGAATCATTTTCAAGGTGGACAAGACTGTCAAGGTCCGCCAACACTTAATTCTGTATTTTGGTTATACATAAAATTAGGGAATACCTACCTGTGACAAGCCTAAATGTACAGAAGCTGTTTCTGATATATACATGATTTTGCCATCAGATGCTACCACGAAAACAAATCCGTCCAAAGTCTGTAAAAGAAAGTGCCAGAGTAAGAGGTGACAGTTCTACATCAGAGTTAAGTCAAATAATTGTGCCATCACTGGAGTGGAGGAACATATAAAACATTATCATCAATACATATTTGTTCAATGCAAAATGGAGTGCAGGGCCATAAGAAGGACCGTGGGTTACAACGCTCACGGCGCAATTCCCGGGACCAGGCTCTCAAATGCTTTTAAAGCACTTTAAAAACAGTCTTACAGCCACATCACAAAAATCATGCAAAACATTTGAGAATTCCTAACATGCTCAGTTTAAATGCAGTAGCTTTATTGTTTAGGGTTATTTTAGCACTTAGCACAAATCCGGACTTCTATGGTACTTAGGGGGAAACCTACCACTATATAGACCGTTTTATGTCATAATTGGCAGTCCTTTATACCGCTAGGACATATGCTTTATTTGCCACAATTTTCTAGTTACCCCTAAGTACCATTTGAATAATAAATTCCGAACACTACCACTCCCCTGAAAATAAAATAACCGGTTATTTTAACAGACTATGTCTACAGAATTAACTACTTAGAGTTTGCAAGAGATCAAATAACCTTTGCAAAATTCAAGGAGAAAAAGTATCAATTTCTGAAAAATTAAAACTACCTAAATGATATTGCCTGGGTTGGCCAGCCCTCAAAAAAATAAAGTAAAATTTTAAGAGCTAATTAAGACAAATAAAAAGGTAATGATTATATTTATATGTGGCAAGGATAAAAAGACTAAATTATTTTTGAAAAAGGAAACTGCATTTTATTTACCCATTCATATTTTAGATCCAGAACCAAAGAAAAGCAATAAAGTTGGTGAAAGGTCCATACAACCCACAATGCTGCCCCCATAAAAAATATTCCAAATTAATTTCTGGCCACAAATTCTATTTTTACAGCATGTAATTGAAACCAGATTACCTTCGGTTTTGCTAAATCTGCCCCCTCTTTGGAGGGGGGCCTAAAAAGAATGTAGTAGAAGTGAAACTTGAAAGATATCCTTACATTCTGTTGTCTCAAGTACAGTTTTACTGTAACCACTCTTTGCCAACTTAACTATCATCGTCCCAACCTATGCTCAGGTTGAAATCCACATCTTGATTATAAGCCTTCCTTTCTCGTCCTGAACTCAGCTACAACATATTCTCCCAACTAAATTCCGTTTCAAAAATATAAAACATACCGCAATTTCTAAAGTTATAAACGTTTTGGCACATCTGCACCCTCGTGCTTAGCTCCAAAATCATTGAAGAGATACACTTATTGAAACGGTATCTGACAGCCAGCCATGTGAGTAAAAGAGAAAGAAAAATCATCGTAATTAAATTCTGAAAGTTGCCAGCAGTAGCTAAAAAAATAATATCCTTAATGGAAAACGTTGGATATACCTTCGCAGCTTCAGATTACCGAATTCTCTTGAATGTATTGCAAACATGCCCGTGCATACGGCATTCCGGCATTAAAGAAACGCACAGCACATCGGAGGAACCGAGGCGAGTTGACTTTGCCCGCCAGGTTTCCACGGGAGTTGTTCCTGGTGTTAGTGTTCACTTATACCATGTAGGAGTATCAAACAAGCAAAATACCACGCACGGTGCTGGAAGCAAGCGAGGGGGTAGGCACAGGGCGCGGGAAAGACTCCAAGAGCGCCATTTCCCAGCCCAGGCTGCCACAACGTTTGCTTTATGCTATAAAAGCTTCAGGTTTCAAATATTCTCGGGATCCTCTCTTCCTCAGAGCATGCAAGGGGGCGGGCGGAAATCCCACCAGGACATTCAGGGAAAGGGGTTTTTAAAAGATCCGCTTTTTTCGAAATGCGGTGCTCTTGGCTGACTCGATGACCCAAGTCACTGCCTACTGTCGCCAACTTTTTTTTTCTTTTAAAGAAAACACGAAATAGAAGGTGGAAATGCAAAACAGCTCTTGGTGAGC